AGTCCCTGAAAGAAGGGAGGCATTGTGAGGTCAAGTAACCGGTGCTGGGTCACAGGTCACCTGCATTGCAAGAGGCAAATCCAAGAGCCAGACTGTAGTTTCTCAATCTTCCAAACAACCTCTCCAAGGATGTCATGACACACTTTCTCCCTGAGCCTAGTGGTCCGCTCAGTGCAGGACCTCGGGTGGGGGGTGGGGAGGTGGGTAGAGGGGGGCTGCCAATTCATTTGCTCCAAGAGCATGCAGGATTATTCTCAGGTCTCTCTGGGAGTCCATAAAACATAAAAAAATTGTCTCTGACAATTGCGTATTGAGTAATACATTGTAACGTTATTTTAAAGGAGCTCACTCAAGGCCCACTCCCTCAAACTGCGGTGCTTAAGGACACCCCCCACCCCCGCCAGCAAGCACTGCCTGTGGGGGGTTTGCTTAAAGTGGGAAGGAGGAGAGCGCGCTGAAAACCTCTCCCATCCGTCTGTCTATTTCGTCTGAAAACACACACCTGCGCTCAGGGACGCAGACTCCCACGGGCCCACTCTTGGAGCCAGATGTTTCCCTCGCCCCGCCCGCGGGCCCTTTCGCCCAGAGCAGGAAGGTGAGGGAGGGGGTGGCACGGATGTCCTCATCTCCCTGCCACACAATGAGCGTCAGTGGCGCGCAGAGTCGGCGATGGTTCTGCTGCGGGCCCGACCTGCGGGCAGCGGGGGGGCGCTGGGTCCCGCCGGGCCAGGGCCGCGCGCGCGGGAAGTCCCGGTGGCGGGGGAGGGACGGCGCCTCCTAGAAAGCGGAACGAGGCCCAGCTAACAGCAGCCACTTGTCGCAAGTCCTCGGCCAGCGCGGTCCCGGCCCGCGCTACTTCCCCACAACTTTCCCAGGGGCGCACCGGGCTCGCAGCGCGGGGCAGAGCCGGGCCGCGCTCGGGGCCGGCGCGGGGCGCGCACTCACCTGGCAGCGGGCTCGGGCGGGCGGGCGAGGCTCTCGGAAGCAGCGGCTGGGTGCGCCGGCCTCTGCGCCGTTTTGTTCCGCTCCGGGAAGGCGTGTCCCGCGCCACGCCAACCAGTGGGCTTTGCACACTGCACCACAGCGGGGCTGATGTCATGGAGCGAAGCCCCGTGGCGCTGTCCCTTCCCCCCCAAGTCCCAGGGCAGCCCGGATGGCGCGCGCTGGGAGGGCGAGGGGGACTGGAGACGCCGGCCGGGGCGTGCCCTACTCCAGCCCTGAGACCCCACCGTGCGCGCCGCCACCGCCGAGACGTCCTGCACGTGCAAGGGACGTCTGGGGCTTTCCTGGCAGCCCTATGGGAGGGCCGGGACGTGAGCGGAGAGGTCAGGCCATGATAAATGCACACGAACTCGAGCCCAGGGGAATGAGAGGTCGCAAACTTGCTTGTCCTCATGGTTGGGTGTGGGGACGCATCATGGGCGCCAGAGGAAGGCCGGCCCCAGCCACTTATTAGCTAGGGGCTCAGAGCAAAACCGTGAGCTCCTTTGGACCATAGGTACTGTATCGGTGAAAGGGGTAGAGTCCACTGAAAGGACCAGTGGCCTAGCATATGATTTTCAAAATAAGACAGAACAAACCGTGGCTGCGTGTGTGAAAGCAGAGCGCTGCCCATAGGGTTGTGCAGGCAGCGTGGTCCAAGTCCTTATGCGATGCACCTCCCACACACCCACACGACTTCCAAGTCCCAACTCCTCAAGACCAGACAGGACAGTGGAACGCACCCCTAGGGCTGCCAAGGCTATAAAGGCTTGCAGAAGCTGACTGCCAAATCTCTCTTCCACGGCTGGCCAATTCTGGTTATGACCAGCGCTTTACACCATCACACCGACAGGCAGGAACTAACCGTTCACATCCTGGGCACACAGTTCGGTTCGCGTGTCTGTGTTGTGCGGGTGACTGTATGCTAGAAACTCTGTACAGTAACCCTCTCCCAACAGCTCTTTTCCTCTCCAGTTTCCACAGTCCTCCCTGCAACCCCAAAGAGCACCCCCACCCAAAGCAATAGTTCTGGAAAAATGCGGCCCTCCATGGGGTTTTCTCTGGGCTTCCTCAGTCTGACAAAAGGCCCTGAGAGCTGCCCCTAGGGCATGACATTCCAGCTTCCCCATCCAGTCCCCAACCCTTCTTAGTGCAGGTGGATGGGGACAAAGAAGCCAGCACCCTGGTCAATGGCTGCCTGGCTCAGGGTCAACCAGCGTTCTGATCGTTCTGATCGGAGAAGGAATGCTCCCAAGCCCTCAGGTTGATAAGGGAGCAGGACTTGGGTTTAAAAAAAAAAAGGCACCATTTTCTCCCCTGAGGGCCTTCCCTGCTCCTGGCTAGAAGCACTGCCCCTGGGGCTTGCAGATTTGGACTTGCTGACATGAAGCATCTGAAAGACTGAGGGTCTCAGAAGTAGGACAGGGAATGAGGGAAAGGGTGTGCCATCTCCTACTTGGATAGTTTCCTGTAACCTGTTCAGAGGGCTGGGAGTTGGAAGAGGACACACCTGTCTCTCACTCCCTAGGCCTGAATTACATGCCAGGCATACCTCATTGTATTGGGCGTGGCTCTGTTGGACTTCCCAGAGCTCGGGGACTTTCACAAATGGAAGGCCTGTGGCAACCCTCCGTGGAGCAAGTCCTTCGGCACCCATGTTCCCAACCGCCGGACACTTGGTGTCTCAGTGTCAGGTTTTGGGATTCTCACAAACCTTTTCATAATGCTATATACACACAGAGCGGAAACATGACTTTCATATGTCCTGGGAATCCAAACAATTGTGTGAGTCACTTTATGGGGCTATCTGGACCTAAACTCACAATGTCTCTGGGGTGTGACTCTATTTTCACTGGGGGCAGACAGTGGTAGGAAATAAGCCATTCAGATCTTGGGCATACATTTCAATGTGGTTATGCATGTTTGTGTTCTGTCTTTGTAAACCTTGCTACTGCTTTCTTGGAGTTGAGCACATTCTCTGAGTCCATGGTCTTTATTTGGGGACAGGGTTTGCTGGGCAACTGGTCACCCCTTACCCTAAGTCACCCCTAAATTCAGCTGCCATATCTTCCAGGCAGAGCAGTTATCAGGGACTCAACACCCCCCTCCAAAACAAACAAACAAACAAACAAACAAACAAAAGCTTTATTTGAAGCCTGCAGTTATTTAATCAGCTCTCTTTTCCAGGGGTAAAATGAAACATCATCTGATACAGAAATGAACCTGGATTTTTTTGTGCTTTCTCCCATAAGAAACACCTCTCTTTGCCAGCCTTCATTTAATCAACAAGACCCTTCCAGATGGGATGTCTACAACCAGTGCATCCACAGGTTGGGCTATCTTCATCTGAGTCAGTCAAGCTGTAGGAGAAGAAACCAGGAGAATGTCTGGTCATTTCTGTGCTAACAAGCAGTAGGTAAATAAAATTTCATAGTGATGATTGGTATAGGAAGCCATGGAATTGCTGTCCGAAGATATCACACCTCTGGGATTGTCTTTTCTCCTGTCTATTCTCAGTATCCTAGAGAGATAATCTTAGAGTCTCATGCAAGATTTTACAAAGGAGTAAGCTCTTGTATTACCTTCTGTGGTGGTTACATAATCTCCCGTCAACTTGCGAAGGGGTGGAGTCTAGCCTATCAATCTGGTCGCAGCTTGATGACCTCATTTGGAATGCTAAGGAGATAAATAGCTCACTGGAGACCAGATACACTCACATGCTGCTTGGTCTTCCTGCTGACAAGACACATGGAGCTACTCTAGAGCCCTGGAGCTGGAGGAGCCACCTGGAGACCTCTGCCAGTGCTGAAGATGCCTCCACTGCCACTGGATCCACAAGACTTCCCACCCACTGGCCTGTGATCTTCCTGCATTCAACATCATTGCATGTGTTGTGTGAGTCTGAAGAGGACTTTATAGATTTCCTCGGGGCAGTGATGGCGTTCTGGCTGGCATCATTTATATGACCGTGGCCAGCCCGGCTCTGCCTAACACCCACAGCTGCTCAGACAATGCTCAGAGCTCAGGTCGAGGAAGTTTCTGCTGCAGGCTCCACACCCGGGCTTGGTGGCTTCTCAAAGGACTTTCAACCATTTCATGTCCTCAGCTATTTCCCAGTAGCTTTAGACTGGTACTTAATGGGTGCTGGGGATGGAGTCGAGGCCCTGGGGGAGGTGGTCATGGGAGTAGCAGTTGCTGTGTACCTCCCAGCAGTTTGTTTCTCTGTGCCTCTCTTTGCCGTGCTGAAATCAACTCTGTTCACCCTTTCCGTAGAAAGCTTTCCTGTATAAAATAGTGTAGAAAGCTGAGTGCACGCAGGGAAGGAACTCCCCGGGTGGTGCAGGTAATGTGCCCGGCTGCTAACAGACAGGTTGGGGGTCCAAGACCACCCAGAGGCCCCTGGGAAGAGAGGCCTGTGACCTACTGAAAATTCAGCTCCTGACAGCCCTGTGGCATCCAGTCTGCTCTGACACACTCGGGGTTCCCAGGAGTTAAAATGGACTCAAAGCCACTGGTTGGTTTGGTTTGGGGGTGAAGGGCGGATGAAGGACAATGCAGTGCTGGAGGCAAGCCACCTGTCCCTGCCCTTGACTCCTCTGCCCTTCTCTGCAGCTTTCCCTCTCTTTCCTCCCTCGCCAGCGCTCCTGTCACACGTCTCTCCCATCGCGTGGTAAAGTCTTCCTTTGTCCCCTGATTCAGGTGAAGCTGAGGAAAGTATGCGGGGATGTGGCCAGCTATGCTCTGCCCGGCATCCCCAGGAGCTTGGAGACCCAGGCTGGGCCACAGTTTTCTCATGTGCTCTTCTATCCATCCGTCCATCCATCTGTCCATCTATGCATCTTTCCAGCAGACATTTATTAAGGTCCAATACATGTACTGGGAAGCCAGGAAAGAATCTATCTTGGACGCTGGCTTCAAAGACCTTACCAGTGTAGCAAGGACACCTCAGTCTGGCAAGGGCCCTGAGAGAAAGGTTTGTACAAAGTACAGTTAGAAAAGGAATGAGTGGTGGGGGCGTTAGGAAAGCTTTCATAGAGAAGGTGAGAGAAGAGACTATAGTCTTGGGAAAAAACCCTCAAGGTCACCACCATTGAGTCTGTGCTGACTCACCGCGACCCTCAAACACAGGGCAGAAGTGCCCCTGCAGGTTTCCAAAACTCCTTTTTTTTTAGGTTAAAGTGCTTTTTTATCCCTCATTGTTATATTCAGAATGTTTAACATTTTTGTTTTACAAGATGATGACAACATATGTACAGATGTGTGTGACACAATGGATATATGTACGGATTGTGATAAGAGCTATAAGAGCGCCCAATAAAATAAAATTAATTTTTTTGTTGTTTTACAAGTAGTACCTTTAATTATTTTTTTAAATCGTTTTATTGGGGCTCAAAAAGTGATTTCAATTTACAGCGCCAAGATAGATTGTCAACCCCTTCAAGCTTGTGAATTCACAATGAGGTATAGAGGCCCGTCCAGGAGGGGAGAGGGTGTGTTCTGGGTAGAAGGGGACGGACAGCGGGACTCCTCCTGGTGTCACTTTGGGGGCACCCGGTTCTCACGGTACGATTGTTTTCTTCCCGAAAACGTGAACGTGATCATTTAGAGCAGTGGTTCTCAACCTTCCTAATGCCTCGACCCTTTCATACAGTTCCTCCTGTGGTGGTGACCCTGTACGTGGCCTATCTGCGTGTGGGTGGACCTGCCTGGAGACGGAGCATTGTCTCGGTTCCTAAGGACCATTGGAAATACAGTCTTAGGTGACCCTGTGAAAGGGTCATTCGACCCCCAGGTTGAGAACCACTGCCTTAGAGCCCTTGGCTGTGGATGCTAATGGAGTGCTGTTGTGGTGTAGGAGGTCCGTCCATGCCTCCAGGCCCCTAGGACCTAAGTGTGAGGCTCAGGAGCTCAGCCTAAGCTGCCGGGGCACTCCTCACAGGAGGCACTGCCATTCCAGCACAGCCTGTCCTTAATCCAACACAGAAGCTGTTTTCATGCAGGGGATGGGAGGCCCAGAAGCACAAGCCCCAGTGGCGTCCTCTGAGAGCTCATCTCTTGGCT